GGCTTGTTCCCACTGCAATGGGACGAATCCCATTATCTTTCTTCTTGAATGCAAACAAGTTTGCACCATACAGCATCGGGGTAATGTCCTGGGATACCGCCCCCTTCAACATTATGTTCGCAACGGCAGCCAGTGATTCACATAACTTTTTACCCAGTTCATGGTGTTTCAGACTGATCAGCTCCTTCAGATATTGCGGTCGTAATCCATCAGGGCCTGCTGCCGATCCATTTGGGAAGGCACGAACTGCTTCTGCAATTTCTGCAACAGTAATATCAAGGGCTATCGGGGTTGCGGGTCCCGGAGGCGGGTGACGTATCGGAGGGTTTGAAGGGTGCTTCTCCTTCAACGCAATGAAGGTCTCTGGCGTCGCGGGCAGAACCGTTTCTTCGGTGGTTAGCTGCCGTACAGCACCGCTGACATTGCCGTCCTGAAGCTTGCGGCTGACTCGCTTGCGGAGCTGCACAGGAGCGTCTGGTTCAGCTGCACGAGGAGCGCGGTCCGTCGAAGGACCCTGTATTGATTCGGGAGGACCATGGTTTTGGATGTTTTGACGGATGATATTGGGGTATGACAGGCGTGGTCTTTGGCTTGGCGCTGCTTTCGGTTGCCCAAGGGTTGCGTAACTGAAGACGAGGAGATCAGTCCAAGCTTCAGTGGAGTTATTGTCCGTAACTTTCTCCAGCGTCTGCAGTAACGCTTCGGCCACTATAATGCGGGTGCTCTTCGGGATGTGATCGGGAAGATGGACTGTTTCGCGTAATCCCGCCAGGCGGGATGGGAGATCAGTTGGTACGGTGCGCTGCTGATTATTAGTCGAGACGCTTGGTGGGGGCGGTTGAGAACGCAGCTGACGTTGTTCTGCTTTGGCGCATTCTTTCGGTTGGGTCTCAAGGTGTTTCGACAGATACAGTGCACTGGAAAGGACTTTCAGGCACTTTGGGCATTGAAGAGGGTTCGTCATTGTCGTCCCTTTAATAAAGCGTTCGGTGGAGAAAGAGATCTGAATTCAGGAGATCAGAAAAGAGTACTTACACGGTGTGGAACTGTGGCGGCTCGATAACTGCGGGACAACTGCCACGACAGTCTCTGGAGAAGATCTCCAGACTAGGTCCCGCAGCCACCCTTTGGTACTGGATGAGGGAAATTTTTTATCCAGGGGCAAAAACGAACCCAGTTGGAAACCGACACAAAATCATGATCAAAAAGCCATTGTTTACAGAAACTTATTTAGTCTTATTAATTCTTAGTCTTATTCGCTAAAATTAATATAAGTTCGTACAAAGTTATACGCTATGGTTAAGTGCGAGCGTATGGTAAGTGCGGATACCATACAAATTCGTTGTATGGTAGCTGACTTCCAAAGGCTCCTCTTAGTTCCCATACACTTTAACATCGTTAGAGCTAAGCTTTTCTAGCACAGAAAACATCGGAGAACGTGAATTTTGATGTTCCACAAGGATGCCATACCGTGTAGCATGAGAAAAAAAATAAATACGAAGACTTCTAGAAAACAACTGCGTTGGTTTTAAGGTATCCTTTACACTGTCACTCCGATGGCGGTGTCTAGCTACACGATAAGGTATGCTTAAGGTATGGTTATGGTGTCTTTTGCGAAAAGCCTCTAATGTTGGGCATTAAACACACTATGGCAAGCTAAACTCCGCAGAAAGAATATTTGTTGCCTTTATTCCAGTGATGAATTTAAGGGAACGGGTGCAAGCACTTCATCGAAGTGGAACCACTTCTAAGGTCGGCTAGGAATATCGATGTTCATTACCTCCACTTCAAATCCAGCCTCTGCGCCTCCGGGCGTACACAGTATAGGCTTTTCGCTGCCTTTGTAACCCACAAAATTGTAAGAACTTAAGACTGTCTTCATAGGAGCGCTAGTGAACCATCCCGTAATTTATTGGGGCTAACCGTCCTGTCGTGAATCCGAAATCAACAAGAGACGCTCCATGTTGTATCCACCGTTTTCTAGCCCTGTAACGTAACCATGCAGCAGTATTCCATCCACTTCCACATCCAATCCATTCCATTCCTATTCAGAATATTGCAGATTGTTTTCGTGCAATTACTGAGACATGTCACATATAATCGCGTTTTAAAAAAAACAATTTTTCCTCATAAATAAAAAGGAAATGTTGGTGGTAATGACGACAATGATTTATACAGTAGGGATGGGGTAGTAACAATCCTTATAACTGCAGGCCGTCGTTCTACACGCAGATTTACCGTTCAGGTGTAAACTGGCATGTGATTCCATCAGCCCATCTAATTCTGCAGATATAGCGTTAATGGTTATGCGATTTTATTTCAAACCATCACTTAAACACGTGTTAGAAACAGTTACAAAACCAACAGCTCGTTAAACATTTCCGCTTTCTCCACCATGCCCAAAACAGAAACCTCGTTACCACGCTGTACCTCTATAGACAAACGCTGTCAAAGAAATTCGTGCGAGCGGGCTGTTTTCGTGCTAGCGTTAATCGGTCAAGTTTTCTCCTTATGAGCAGCTGATCGTTTCCGCTCATCTTGTGTGTCGTTTTATAACATTCTATAGCCAGATGAATTGTATATATCGGCGTGAAAACCGTTTGTGCGTGCAACATCCGGTTCGGCAAAGTTATGGCAGCCGATTTATACAAACCAACTGACTGCAGGATGGCATGGAACAAAGAAAAAACGAATTTCGGAGTGCGCGAAAGTGAATGCAATCGTCATGTACACGAATTTGGTAATATATGCCGGGTCACTACCGTTGAAGCCAACGGTGGAGGTTATGTAGAACGTTTTTTTTAAGGTTAAATGGAACTATAAGGAAATGGCAGCGGTAAAGGCAGAGGGGAAACTGCAAAAGGCAAACAGGAGACAATAGTACTCTTGCCTGACCCGGTTCTGCTTGTATTTGTTCTCTTCTTTAGGTTTGGGGACTTACAATCACGGAACCAGTTCTGATATTCCCTGGCATTTAAAAGGTTTCGAAGTCCATTTTAAAATTTGAAAAACATTATGGCTATGTGATTCCGCGGCAGAAAAGTTATTATGCTTGTGTGCGTTATCAGTAAGAGCCAAAAAAGACCAGGGAACTTAAATGATGTTTAGTATTTTTGAATAGCATCGTACCAGTGACTCTCCATTTGGGTGTTGCGCGCACCAACGGTTTTTGCCTACTAGCGATTTGTATGTGAAACGCTACAATTACGTCTGTTGAGACCGAATGCAATACCCGAGTCTGGTTTTTCATACTGACATAATTGGTATTATGTTGTACGAGTTACGGTGCGTTGTTCGAGTGTTCCCTGTTGTACTAGCGATGACGTATGATCCGTGTTCTTATCGCTATCCTCCGATCAGAAGCTGCGCTTCGTCGTCGGCTAGCATTCGGCAGTGTGTGTGTGACTTGTATTGAGTGAACATCAATAAGATTAAAGTAGTATTACGCGTTTTAAGTAGTATTACGCGTATGCACTTTTGTTACACTGATGGCCTTTGCCCAATAAGATTAAAGTGAGTAACATCATTGTGGTCCTGTTGGTGTTAGTGCTGTGAGTGACCTTCGTTTAGGGAAAGCAGTAGTGTGTACCTAGGCGGAAGTTACTGTGTGGTATTCCTGTAGTGTGGTAGTGAGTGTGGTGAGAGTGTGTTTGTGGCACCTGTTGTCTGCGGAAGTAGGCAACACAACCAACACCAATCTCCGGAGTTCCTTCTCTGCTAGCTGCGGTCAGGTTAGTAGTAGTACACGCGGTGCGTGTATTATGTCAGATATTTCGGTATTAAGTACCAATACATTATCTCCACTGCTATTACACCGCTCGCATCCATCTTTAACGCAATCCGATCACATCTATTCTTTAAAGTTCCTGTTATTTAATTTTTAGTTTTTTTTTCCTGTTGATATTACACAATTCGCTGGGATTCCAGAACAAAGGACATGACCGTTTTTCTCGTGGGGTGCTTCACGTCTCCACTGCACTGCCTCACGTTTGAAGTAGTGGATTTGAAGTAGTGGTTGCAAGCAAAAAGTTGTAAACATGTTTTTTCACAATCCCAAGTATCACATAAATTTTCAGGCTGGCTTCCTTTTTTGAATGTCTGTTGGAGTTTTTTAAACTAAACATTTATGTGCAGCTAAGCGTTTGTTAGTTTTCTATTTACACATAGCAGTAACGATCTGATCAGTTGCTATTTCGATAATATAATATTATGTGCTTCTTTGTACAGACTGTGCAGTGTGCATAACATAATAATTTGTTACAACCTTTGCATCGACGCTAAAGCCTGTGCCGGGTAAACACGGGTATTCCGAGTCATATGCCAGCCGGGAAGTACGGTATACCAAGCAGATATAGTACAACGTAGATACCTAACGATAAGTAAAATGCTGTTACAATATTAATGCTTCACGTTTATTGGTACTTATTCACGTTAAATAATGATACAATGCGGCAAGCAAGAGTGCGCGAATGTAAAACTTTTGTGCCTGAACATGAATTTGACCATGTACCGGGTCATTTTGACCATGTACCAAACATAATAATTATTATGTGCATGTACCGAATCTGTTCACACATGCATGTACACATAGGTACCCATAAACACATGTATGCACACATATGTACTGAATGTGTGTACATGTACATAACATGAATTTGACCATGTACCGTTGTATAGATTGTATATATAACAGACTGCCGTAAAACACTTTGTATTACATGACAGTATGATGTATCGACAGTCGCAAAGCCGTCCGCACAGCTGGCTTTGCTTAACCTAACTGTGTTGCTCCTGCCTTTATGCCAGACAAGGAGCGCAATGCTTACTGCCACAAGGCAAAAACAGCGATCGATCGGTGTTTAGAAACATCATGCTGCATGTTCTGCACAGCTTCCCTCCTGAATCCTGTTCACTATGCGGCATGCGCCATATCACTCGCGGCTACCACGCTTGCGCGCTCTGTATGTCATTGCAACTTGGTCGTTGCCGCAGCTGCGCGTTTCCGTTCCAGTAACACTCAAGTTTAAATTGCAATCGTAGATGTTCCATACAACAAATCCAAAATCATTTTGCTTGATTTGTTGCCTGGCTAGTCACCCAAGCACTGCTTATATTATCTTCCTTTCGAATAGTTTAAAACAGACTTAAAATTTTCAGTGATTTAACATAAAAATAAATTGCAAAGAAGCCTTCTTTCATCGCACAGTACAGTTGTGTTTGCAAATCATGGAGAAATTAAGCAAAGTTTTCAGAAGCTGCGCTGGAAGCCAGCCAGGCAACTCCACGAAGCGGAGGCGAAGGACACCCCGACCCTACACTAAGGATTTTAAAGTCAACCCCGAGAGCAGTTTTGCTGTGACTATGTTCAAGGCTGTCATTGAGTCGGCGAAGGCTCCGGATGCGAACATCATTATTAGTCCGTATTCAGCGGAAGTTGTCCTGGCGGCACTCCTTCCCGGGATCAGCGGCGAATTAAAACCAGCTCTGATGGAATTATTGTGCAAAAATAAAAGACAGTTTCCGGAACTGATAAGAAAGCTTGATGCTGTTAACACAGACGGCGAATTAAATGCAGTGAACGCTGCATTTTATGACGACAATTGTAGCCTGGCTCCGCAATATACAAAGGCAATCGACAGCGCAATGAAATTTGGGTTTGTCAAAACACCGTTTGCAAAATCACCTGGCGAAGCTGTGACGATGGTGAACCAATTCGTGGCGGAAAAGACTAATGGAAAAATAACCAAGTTGTTGGAAAAAGTCGATCGCCGGACGCTGTTAATTCTAGTGAATGTCATTGATTTCTCAGGCCAGTGGGAATGTCCGTTCGACAAGGAAGAAACCAAAAACGGGACATTTTATTGCCCGAACAATTATGAGAAAACGGTAGACTTCATGAAGAACGAAGATGCTACCGTTCGCGCGTACAATATTCATGGTTATAAAGCTGCCGAGAAAAACGTCGAAGTTGGCGACCCGCACATGATTATTCTCAACGTGGTCGAGAGAAAATTCAGCGTCATGTTTTTGCTGCCAGCAAAAGACGCCGGCGGAATCAATAGCCTGGAAAAGGAATTACCTATTGAAAAATTGTTGAAGTTGCGCCAAAAAAGTTCCGAGGAAATGATCTGCATTGTCGTGCCGAAATTCCGTATCAGCTGCGGTCTTGACCTAATACCGGGTGCGAAAGCTATGGGTTTGGAGGAGATGTTCGAGCCGTCAGTGACGAATTTCGAGCAGATGTTCGAGAACGACAGCCGGCCGAAGCGCGTTGACCAGTTCCGACAGGAAGTGGTAATCGGTAAGGTTACCGCACCAACATTTCCGGCAAAATTTAATGTACGTTGTGCTTGTAGAGGTGGACGAATACGGTATCAAAGCATCAGCGGCCACGTGCTGTAGTTTGGGATATAACTGCATCAAATACCCGGATTTTCAAGTCGATCACCCGTTCTTGGTGATTATCTGGAACGAGATCGCCAATGTCCCAGTTTTTATTGGTCGTATTACGGAGCCAGATGAAACGGCTGATTACAATAACGTACCGCTTCAATAAGCCCGGTTTATTCTTATTAGGATAGCACTATCGAATGTCATCAGTTTAACAGTTGGAAAAATGACGCGTTCACGTGAAATCTTTCCAAACATGTTTCTGCATTCACCTGAAATCGATCGCTGGGCAAAATTTTTCAGAATCCACCTAAGCATTTAAGTAAGCGCAAAACAAACAGCTTATGACTAGCATAATACTTTGCGGCGTGCGCGCTGAATATGCGGAGATAATATGTATTAGTATGTTCGCTGTACGATCAGGTGTTTGCATGGGTATGCAAAAGAACCGTTAATTTCCCAATTTCAAAATAAGTTTTGTGAATTTCTAAATAAACTCTAAAACAACATTTCCCAAATACTGTAGTTATCACAATTTTTCACGATTTTTGCATGGATTTTATTTGTGCAATAGTTTTCCAGTTTTAATGTAAATCTTGTGAACGGAACGGTCATCTGAAATTATAACACTTTCACTTGGAAAAGTAGACGAAACGTTGAAGAAGGCATCGCGATTCGCGGTACAACGGTAAGGATGACCTGATCAATCTTGCTCTCGCTGGCATCACTCGCCGCGCTGATCAGCGGTGTCTTCGCTGTGACTTCACACAGACCGGTGGTCAGGTGCGGAGGTTCGGTCGCGGCAAAGACGTCGCTGCGGTGTGTGTAGAAAACGCCTGAACCATCGGTGACGAATTTTAACCGGACGCTTATAGAAGATGGTCGGCCAAAGCAGATTAACAAGTTCCGACAGGAAGTGGTCTCTGGTAATCTCACTTAAGTGGATTCTGCCTCTGCATCAACATTTAGTAGGAGACTGCGAAAAATATTATTCATAGACAGGTCAACGACTTTAGAATGCGGAACATCAGAGTAATGACTTCCAAGCTTTTCTAGTGATAAAATTATATCTTAATCCGTTGTGTTCGCCAAAATATTGCATTTGGCTAATTTGGGTTTGCTATATTGGATGCCTCCACTTTCACGGAAGGGTTTGTTAGCCAATTTTTTCAACCTAGTTTTGCCCTCGAACAGTAAATTGATCAGGATGCATTTGTTGACCCTATAAAATCTGTTCACGACATTTCAATATCGGCTTTGAATCCTTTTTCACTTCGGACTGATTGCACGTTCTCCAGCAGAGTATCACCAGAACTGTAGTAATAATATCACCGGCTTATTGTGCCAAGTACTTCTTAATTCGATTTGAAAATCACACAAATGTATATTTTTGGATTTTCCTCAAGAAAACGATCTCAATAAACATTTGTCGAAATCGAAACAGAATTTTGGCAGTGCCTGATTAGGGAAACCGGTCGGTAATGGGATAGAGGCTTCTGTATGCTCTACACTATACTTTAAAATATACAACAATATGAATGAAAAAATATAAAAATATGAAAAAAACGTAAAACAACTGTTACAAAAAGCAGGCAAAAATTATAAAATGTATGAAACAAAAGAGCCCCTTGAATAAGGTTTGGACGGCTTAAAAGGCAAAAAAAGCTGAAGAAAGGTCGATGACAATAAAACCGAATTCGAACCAAAATCACGTTTATCGTATTACACAAAGAATAATTTCCAGAATTTAAAAATGCAATCCAGAAACTTTTTGAAAAGGTTATGAACTTGATAATGGATCGGGTTTGACCTCATAACCGCGTGTCTTTGATAGGATAGTTGCAGAAAAATCGGGTGATAACCACTTGCATTTTTATAGTTAGAATTTTACTGTAAAGCGTATATCAACCTTTTTATCTTAAAGCTGAATAATTTCTTTAAATCGAAAGACTTCCCACAGTTTTCTCCAAGGTTCTTAAAAAATTTAAATTTGCACGTTTCAACCGTCAATACTGCACCAAAATACTTCGAATTTCGATAATACACAAACTCTGCATTCTGCAATGCTCCAAGTCCAGAGCATTTTAATTTCTAGAACCGCTACTGCAATCTTTTTTTTCCAGATTTTATGACGGATGCTGGGAAATGCACCTAGAAACGGCTGATTTAAAGGAAACTTCGGCTTGGTAGTGAACGCTCGGTGACTTCGGTCGTCATGGTACAAAATAGCAAGAGAAACTGACGCCCATGTGCTATGCCGTGCTATGTAAATACTTTGGCCGAAACGAGCGCGGCCGAAATGAAAACGGCCGAAGTGATCGGTAGCCTGAAATTCGGCTAAAATTCTGGCTGTCCATTACGAGCAACTCAAATAATGTATAGTTAGACCGGTCTGAAAAATTAAAAACTACTTAATAGCATTAGAAATTAAAATACGGTCCGGTTACTTTGACTGTACCCAAATAGAACCCCCTGACGCGATGCTGAGGGCCGCCGTAGCGTGCGCTGTCGTCCCTATACGCAGTACGATATCAGCCTGGTGTTTTAGTTCCCATGCAGAACATCAGCTACCACTTACAAAAACCACAAAGATAAACTACTAGTTAAGATGGCCGTTTTTCTAGCAACTTAGTAAGTCTAGTAATACAGACCGAAACGAAGCCAAAACCTTTTCTACAGGCTACAATGCTGATGCAGCAATTATATTTGAGTATAAGATTAAGGAAATGGCTGTAGGCACCCCGTTTTACCCGCATTTTCCTTGTCTCTTTAACAGTTACCATTTAAACCCTAATTTTTTAATAACTGAAAGTTCAGCCGTTTCGACAACGAGCGAGAGTACAATCACTACGTTGTTTTGCCAATCCATTTACTTTAGCGATAGTAGCTTACCAACGGAAGTGCGATCCGCTCACATTTGATAGGTTAAATTCACGGATCAATGAATTTGCGGCAAGCTAGATGGACAATTAATCCAAAAGCAACAGATGCGCTCAGTGGTGATAAATAAATAGGCTTCCGGGTTTGAAAATTCACGATTACTTGTACATCGACCGCGGACTGGACTTAGATGGGTCATTGATTCACCGTTCTGAGTACAAGCTGAGAATGCACGGCCGTCTCGCACCAGACTGTTAGCCACTGGCAGCGCTGACCGTTTGCAGTAAACCTCTGCATTGCATGTGGTCGTAAACGTTTTAATCGGATGGGTTCAACAATTCTGGATAGTACGCAGCGGTGGAGGTAGAAGTGGCCCGCTCTGACTCAGCTCTGATACGGATACGATTTAGAGCGATACTGATTTTGCCGATCTGTGGTTTCTGTCTTTTGCATGCTAAGAAAAATGGCGGAACAACATTATGCTATAACATCAAACTGAATTTCTTGAGGCGAGCTATTTTTTCTGGATCCTTGCACATTGCGGCAATCGCACAGTTAACAGGATAACGTAAAACCGGATTGTGACAACACCACAGCTGGAGTCAGCATTCGCGTGTCTGACCAACTGACTATAACTATTTTAATGCTGCGTTATTTCAGCAGGTCAAACATCCGACCAGTCAAATAATCATCGACTTATTCGTTGCGGGAATTTGCTTTTATCTTCCTGCTCTGTGATTTTGCTAGTCCAGCTTTCGAGTGTTCCACTTCGAAGTGGTTTTCGATCCCCTAATACGCGCCAGAGAGTATATATGCAAATCCGATTCAACTTCCGAATGGGCAAATTGTCCAAATCCTCCACGATCCACAACCGGTTAAAATAATGCGCAGAAGGACGCGGGTCGCAGCTCTGATAAGCATTCAGTATCTGAAAACCAGCAACGATGTAGCGCTAACGCTAAAACAGAGAACGCTGTTTGCAGTTATACCTTGATGATTTTGTTATACTTTTTTGGAAATTTTGCCCCAGTCTTATTCGCCACCCAGCGTTCAATATTCTCTATAGCATATTCCAGATCAAATTCCCACTGTGTAACGCCGCGCTTCTCTGTGCACGTGTACTTGTATATATACAGTACATATGTGTCCACATAATACCCGGAAGTGGATCGATACCGATTACATATGTGCACCGCATCGATTACGTCTTCAAGGGCGCTATCCCGCATATCCGCATGCATATTCCCTTATCTAATTAGGCCTAAGTGCTGATGTGAGAACTGTGTCATTAACCGTCACTTAGTGTGTATGTTGTATATGTACTCTGTACATGAGTTCCTACCGTCTTAATGGAAACTGGGTGTGTTTGTGCAAGTGCTGGCATTTTATGACTTTCCATTTTATCCTGTGTGTAGAATCGTGGATTTTCTCTTATAAGTCTAATGCTTTTCTCAGTTGTAAAGTCAGTAGTGTTTTTCTCAAGTTTTGCTTTGGATGTGAGTTTTGCATAATTCAATCTTTCTTGTTATTTGTTGTGTGAGTAAAGCTACAAAAACACCGTTGTCGCCGCGCTGTCTTAGTGTACACGGTACACTGAAGATAGGCTAGTTGCACAGAGTAATTATCGATCCATCTTTATTCTCCCATTTCCCTGCGCGGATAAACGTTATCGCGCAGTCAGCAATCACACACAGCATCCACCACGTGTTAAGACTAACACTGGTGCCGAAAACCTGTCTGCGGAGGCGTAGGAGCATTGTCGTTTGGAATACGGTCATTAACTCTGCAGTTGGACATTGACCATTATCGATCTGTGGTGGATATTATCATATTCCGAATAATCAGTGGGTGATTATTCGTGTATTGCTTTGGGAATTACTTGTGTTAACTACGGCGACTGGATTATTGATTTGTTGGAGTATACACGGTAACTCGCAACATGTCTAATCCTGGAGATGACCCTAATAAATCGACCGGCAGCCAAGTGCAGCCGCACTCCAACACCGCTATTCCAACCAAGGCGGGTGCAACCGGGAAATCCATCGTGTTGGATTCACGCGCCCTGGCTGAGGAATTCACCTCCATTCAAGCAACCGGTGACACCAAGCCACCCCTGTTCCGTGGACGCGCGGGAGAGGATGTGGAAGGCTGGGTGCGGCGCTTCCGCACCGTGGTTACCGCGTTAGAGTGGAAGGAGAGTAAGGTGTTACGCCAAATTCCGGTCTACTTAGACGGATTTGCTGCCACTTGGTATAACAAGGTCAGTGACGGTGGTAAAAAGTTACCTTACGCAACTTCCGAGGAGTTATTGAAGGCTATCATCGGTCGCTTTCAAACTGAAGACTACCGTAATCAGCTTAAGGTCAAGCTGCGTTTACGTAAGATGAAGCGCGACGAGGCATTGGAAGATTATTTTAATGATGTCATGACCTTGTGTGACAAGATTAATGCCGATATGGATGATGACGACGTCATTGAGAAGCTGAAAGCCGGGTTACTGCCGAAGTATCTTAGCAGACTGGCAATGACGCAAGCAGACACGCCTATGGAGTTCCTCTCGGACATGCAGAAGGTG